ACTGTAGATGAGGTCTTTTCCTTGCAATTTCAGGGCATCTGCACCTGCCATTTCAGGACAGACAGATCAGCACAGGTTCTCAGTTTCTGCTGAGAAGTTTGTTTGAACCTCTGGAACTCTCCTGCAAAGTCTTTCTCTGAATATAGAGCTGCCTCTTTAAGATTTGCAAGTAAAATTATTACCAATTCCTTTTATTTAAAAATATTATTTTTTGTTTGAAACAGAAGCATAATGCAAATCTGAAAGCATTAAAGCCAGTCAAACTAGATTCTGAGGTAAGATGGCATCATTTTAGTAAAAAAACTCCTTTCATCTTTTTATCTTGTCTGAACAATGTGTTTTTAAGTGCCATAAATATGCTTGCCATTTACAGGAACAGGCGAAAATTGCAAAGCTTGGATTAGAATTGCATCTGCTCACATCTGATGTGGATTCTGAGACAGAGAAATGGGAGGACCAGGAGAATGAGATTGTGCAGCATGGACAAGGCATGTCAAGTATGGCCTACTCCATGTATTTATTTACCAGGTAATTTGAGTACACATGGCAAATTTTGGTGGGAAAAAGAGCATTAACAGTGTTTATAAGAAAGAACAAATTTTCATTTTCAGAGCATAATAATTGGGACTGTTTTAGAAAGGAACTTGATTCTGTCTGTAGACTTTATAAACTTTTGTAAATTTCTGAACTGTTTAAAAAAACCCTAATTTTAAACACCACTTTATTTTTAAAGGGCTTAACATCTGTTTCGTTGGAGGGCATCTATTTAAATGTCTCTTGGGTACGGAAAACATTTTAAGAATCATGTTCATAAATACTTTGAAAATTAAGGAAATTAAAGCACAAGTATATACCTGTAGATGAGATAGAACTGTAGATGAGAATTACTGATCCTTGTACTGAAAAGTGTTTATCTGAAACTTGCCTGTGCAATGTCAGCTTTCTTACTTGAAGAATTTACGTTTGCTTGGGGTTTTTTCACCAGAGCTGAGATTTCTTTTTTGTTAGTCCAATAATACTCATTATGCCAGAGATGTGGATTTCTAGTCTTGTTCAGCTTATGAGAACTGAGCCATTGTTAATTCCCCAATAGTGCTGTAGCTACTGAGGTGTTTGTATAATATATTTAAGTCAGTTCTTGTAGGTAGTTTTGTCTAGTATCTTCTAAAAGATTGATATTTACAGTTCACTGGTGTGAACTGTAAGATGTTCAGTGGTGAGACTATTTTTTGTAAGTAGTAGGCAATATAATCTGCAGTCTGTAAATGGCATATCTTCTGCTTTTGTTATTTCTCACAGAGGAGAAGGACTTCTGAAAACTACTCAAGATTTATTTCATCAGGCAGAGGTAATGTATTTTTAACAAAATAGGACATAGACACTCTGAGTGAAGCCAAACAGGAACTTCAGTGTCTGATTCCTTACACATAAGTACAATGTACCATGAATTGACTGGCAGTTGTAGACTTTGAGCAGCCTAACTCTGATACATATTCTGAAAGTGAGCTTCCAGTGTTCCAGTAATAGCTTCAGACAGGATCATTACACTGATAGATGCCAGCTAGGAGGAGGGATAGCAAACTGGCATTATGGCAAATAGAGTGAACTTCAGCACATCTGTAATATTTGTTGTGTCACGCAGCTCAGTCCCTGGTAGTGTTAACAGATACTAAATCCTAGTCTGAGCAGCAGGATTTTCATGGGAAAGAAAAAAGATGTAAAAACTTGCACAGTGCAAACAGAAGGGCCCAAATGAAAGGGATGTGGAATGCTCTTTCCAGAAAGCATACCTGTGTGTAACAGACTTGTTACCTTTGAAAGGACAATAAACAAAGAGGCCAGGTGTCATCACAAAACTCTTGTAAGCTGCCACGTGCAAAAAATAATTGGAAATTGGGGGTTTTGTTATATGTAAAGGGACAGCCTTTAAACTCCGCTTATCTGTGAGGATGGCAGTTTGCTGTGTAGTTGTTATTTCAGAAGTCACTGCAAACTGCTGACTTGTGTATCGTAGATGTATACAATTATTACAAGTATTTCCTGCTACCTTTTTACTTAAAAGCACACTATGGAACCAGGAGGGAAAGAGCCTTACCTTCTGTTGTGATTCATTTTGTTACATGCTTTCTCCTCCTTTCAGATTTTTGCCACAGAGGGCACAAAGCTTGCCTCAGCTCTTTATGCTCTTTCTGATCAGGTGATGTATCTTAATCACATCAGTGATACTGCTTAGAAGTTGCTTGTGCTGTCTTCTCCCTTAACTTGATGCTGGAGTCTTTAACACAGAGTTATTTTGTCTTCCTGGACAACATACCAGGTACGTGATGATGACAAGCCTTTGCTTCTGTTGGAGGCTGAAAAACTCATCACTATGTGCAAGCAGCTCCAGGCAACAGCTAAAGCTTCTGCTCAGGGTAAAAGTGCTACATTTACAAAGGTACAGTAAAAAACTATATATATTTCTCAAAGTAACACTTAACTTGTTTTGAAATAAAGTAATTTACTAATTTATGCTCCAGTTAAAATATGGAATTAGGTTGCAGTAGTACTGTAATCCACTAGAATGCCATTCAGATAAACAGGAACTGTAATTAGGTGTACCTCAGTATGGACTTCAGGGATCAAAATTTTAATGAAGGTAATATGTATTTCTGCCACTGTAATAATTACTGTTATTACTGTTACTGATGCTTAACATAAATGTAGCAAATTCCAAACCCCAACTCCACTACTGAAACACATTTGATTCTCAGTAGGCAGCATCTACCCTGGACTGCTCAGGTTTTTCTCTGATATTCATATTTGCTATAAATAACTACATAGACAGTGAAAGTTTCATCACTGTTAACACAAGAAGGAGATCTGCAAAGATCAGAGGGGATCAGTATCCCTGAGCCAGCAGCAATCAATTTGAGCAAGACCATTTCCATGCAGCTGGATGTTTGTTTGCACATGGCTGTGGAAAAGGTTTTTCAGTTTTACAGCAGGTGTGAAACTGGCTGAAGCATGCAAGCCACTCAGAACCAAACTGAGCACCTTGGGGCTATTGCATGGTTTGTTTTACACCCTCTGAATTAAATGGGAACTCCAGTCTGTTTATACAGTGATGTACCAGTACCTAGCAGTAACAAGTTCTCAGATTAATGTCTGAGGGCTCAGACTTGTGACCCGAGTGTTAAGATTTAAGATAACTTTTAGTGTAACATCGAACTGAGGCTTAAATGATGCTTGGCTCTCTAAATCATGCTGGCAAAAGGAAAAGCATGAAGAATTTTGATGATTCATGCTTAGATCTTAAGAGCTCCTTTCCAAGAGACTTCTGTTACTGTTTAATATAATATTCTTAGTAGTTCATCCTCTTGGGATGTGTCTGCTCAAGTTGTGCTTAACAGAAGGGATGCTCTTGTTTTACATGTACTATACAGAGAAGTTTAAAAAAAGTAGGCAAACCCATTTGATTAGGAGATATTTTAACAGGAAAAGTATTACTTAACCCAGTTCAAAACAGATCATCTCATGCCAAAAACAACTGCCTAACACAAGTATTGAGTAATAGGTATTACTCATTAATTGTCTTGTTTAGGTTGATGCATGCATTCTGAAAACAAGGAATGTGATGACTCTGTTATGTCAACTTCTTCCACTTTGCTGCAAATTACTGGGAAAGGTGAGTACTAGCTTAATCTGCACTATTTTAAAACTTTTGAGGTTTGCTTGCTTGGGTTGGTTGGTTGTTTTTAAGAAATCTTTCTTATATACATACACAGAATAAAGCGGGAAATGGTTGTCTTAAGCCTGCTCCACCATGGAAAGAAGACAGAATACGAACTGGTACAAATGCACGTACTCCAGAAAGAAGAGTGGAGACATTTGGCATCAAGTCTTTAGAAAATCATGTAACAAACATGACATTTTTAGAGAGCAAGTAATCACAGCCCTGAGAAATGCAGGAATTCCCATTTGACAATAACACTTGCTGAAGTTTCAATACTGCTTTCATTTGTGGAAAGTCAAGCCAGGTTAATTTGATATAAAACTGTTGACCTTTGTCACATCTAATAGATGTCCCATTACTTAGCCATTAAAACACAAGCCAGTCTAAATATTCTGTATTTTTATAATGTGAATGCCTTTCCTATGCTCGCTGTTGATACCAGTTTTGTAATCATTGCTTCTGAATGTCTTAATGGATGTGTCAACCCAAAGATGCTGCTAAATAGACATTTTACATACAGACCCCTGTGCTGCATATGCTACATGTAACACTACTGTTGAAGTCTGTACACTCATCTCTGGCCTATTTCAGTCTGTGTATTTGATAAAGCAGAAACAGGAATATAGTCTGAAAGGCTGTGGCCTGAAGCACTGAAATGTTACCTTAGTTACAAGTTATACCTGCAATGAAGTAGTCTTAGGAAAAAAAAAAAATCTCTTTCAATCGATTCACCTCTGAATTTTAATCTTTACAAGATTTATCTCCACAAAAAACGTATTTCTCAGTGATTAGTAGTTTCGACTTAGGCCCTTTTTCTTTTACCCTATTTGTAGATGGCAGTTGTTGCTTTTTTATTAAAACTTTCTGAGCAGAATTTGAGTTGCCTGTAGAACCACTAAAGTATTATGCAGACTTGACATTATGCCATGTAAAATTGAAGTAAATAGATAGTGATTATTACAAAATTCTGTACAAAGGGCATTATTTGACTTCAGGATACCATGAAAATACAACTTGGTATGAAATATGTATTTTTGAATTTATCTGCTCTTTGTACACAGGCTTTTGTTGCATTTTTGTTTTCCATTCACCTGTGTCAAACTCCATATTGTATTAGTTTAGCTAAATTACATGATAGCTAAATACTATGATTTTTCTGTATGTACTATGCTTGCATTAAGCAGAAGCAAAGCTGATTGTGGAACATAAATAATCTCCAACATGTCATTCTGAGCTTATTTAAAAATCTGTAGTGTTAGAATTCAGAGAAAAAAAAAACTTCATGTCAAGTTTTTACAGAAATTTTAATATACAAACTATTTTAACTGGTTTATTCTTTTACAAATCAAGGAGTTTAGTTCCTTTTAAAAACTGGCACTGGGCCTTTTCCATACTATAAAACTCACAGTGTACAATAAAAGTCACTTATTTAGTATCAAACACAGATGGGAAGTGTAGAGTTGATTTCACAAAGCAGAACTGCGGCGTTTCATCAAAACTTCCTCATACTCCTTCGGCGTCAGAAGTCCCTGAGTTATACTCTTGCTTTCTTCAAATTTGGGTAGAACCACTGCAATGTACCCCTCAGTTGATGGCTAAAAAGTGAGACTGAAGTTAGCAGTGAAATAAAAGCTGAAAAATAAAGAACAAGAAAGTGTCTTACCTTTTCTTGCAGAAGAGCGGGATTGCTAAGGATGTTCTCATTCACCTCAATTAGCCGCCCTCGTATGCAACTGCAAAAGTGTTCAGATTCTGTACATGTGTGGGGTATGGCAAGGTAGGGAAAAAATGGGAAAAATCTTACCTGTAAATAGTGTATTCCTCTCCATCTGATGAAGATATCCTGCACAGAGGGGCAAGTTCTGTTAAAAACTGAGCTCCCTGCATTTGGAAAACAAACAAACATGTCTGTGGTTTTAATTACACGGGACTTGTAAAAGTATTACCATCAGCAATGTCTAAAAGGAAGGATGTGTCATAGTTACAGGTCATGCCAAGTTCCAGAGCTGTGCTTCCCTACAGAAGGGAAGATGCCAACTTAGTTATGTGCACAAATCAAACAGAAGCTTGTTACAAGCCTACAGATTTAGTCATAACTGAGTTTCTTGCAGACTAGCAATCTTGTATTTTGATGAGCCAGGGGAGAGAGGAGAGGAAACAGCACCATGGATCTCAGTATAAGCAAGTTCAAATGCACCTTCAAAAACCCACTACACTGAACTGCCCCATCTACTCTCTAGTTTCCAAATCCTTCACATCTTCTTGGAAATAAACTTTCATTATTTCAGGGATGTTTATGTCCCTCTGTACACTACCAAAAAAACCTGCTAGAAGCGAGTGTGCTTGAGCAACACTGGAAACCACCAGTGCTGTAGGAGCACTGCAAGACCCTGGGTGGGACAAGCACATCTTGAGGAAATCTAACTTCTTCAAGTGCAGAGGGGCTGGTTTTAAGTGAAATACAGAAGTAACCTGCTGGGTTTCTCTCCAAGAAATGACAGAAAAATCTCAGGCAGTGTGAGAGATTAAAATGAAAACTAAGGAAACCAAAAAGCCATACCCTTTTTGACTTCCCAGAGACCTTATTCTGAAGTCTGCTACAGTTTGCACTGATTTGGTAATTAATGTTTTTAATTGTTTTCCCACTTTGAAGAAGAGGGTGGGCTTCTGCCAAGGTGATGACACAAATTCTGCAAAAAAAAAAAAAAGAATATAATTATTCCACTGTAATTTTAAGAAGCCACTCCTTCGTGCTCTAAGCAAATCCGACAACCTCCTCTGCCTATCTTGTTTGACACCTGCTGTACCAAACTGAACAAAAATGGCATTCTGACCTAAAGCCACTCCCATGGAAAATGCTTCATTTTGAGATACCAGACTGGACTGTCAAAAGGCCTACACTTCTTACTGAAAGAAAACCACTGCTTTTAAATAAGCCAGTACTCTTTTATCTGTTGTGCCCCATGAGAGCATGGCTGGTTTATTTCAGCCAATAGTTGAAGTAGACACTAAGCTTAAGATAAGTAAAGCAAGGTGTACTTTTGTCACAAAATGTAACACAAAGGAGTCTTTCTCAACAGCTAAAGGCCCTGTGCAGTGAACAGCTGAGGAATCCTTTGGTGACCTGGGCCTTAGTTAACTTGTTGCATTTTTTCTAACAGAGGGTTATTTCTGACCATGACACTGCACAGTTTGAGATGAGCCCAGCTGAAGAGAACAAGCCTGCCTGGCCTAGAACCATGCTTAATGCACAAGCGTGACTTGCCAGTAACTGAAGGGAGGGGAAGCTATTCTGTTTGAGAGTATAAAACCTACAGCAAGCACCAGAATCAACACAAGAGTGACTGCAGAGAAAACCAGGGCACAGAACCAGATCTCTCCCTGTGGATGCTGTATCCATCTCCCCACACTCCTGTGGAGTTCTGGCTGCACAGCTCCCACAAGAGGGAGCTGGATCCTGGTAAATGCATCCAGCATGTTCTAGCAGCAAAGCTACCTCCCTTCACCTCAGCCACCTTCTAAGGGAAGATGACAAATTATCTTTGAGCTGTCACCTGATGGAGCTGAGACCTCGCAAAACAAAAAAGCAAGAGACAACTTCACACTGCATAGAAACAGCAAGCTGAGCCACAGCTCCATACATAATAATGGTCAATTACTTTACAGAACATCTGGCTAAGCTGCTGTGGAATCCAAGGGTCCTGATAATTCAGAATTCAAAGCAGGAGAACAGTCTCCACGACAATTGAACAGATCAGTGGCATTTAAACTTGTTTATATCAGACACCTGAGATTAGTAACCTTATATTCAGTATTCAGTACAAATGGAAGGGTGTCCTTCCTTGCTGTTACTGTCACCTGTTATTTGAAGGTACTCTGGTTTCCCTTTTGAAAGAATGGAGGAAGGAAACAGCCACAGAGAAGCTCCAACTCCAAAGGCTGCAGCAAGGTGATGGTTCTGCCCTGTGCCAAGCATACTCTTCCTTTTACTCTGAATTTCTAGAGCAGGCAACTCACCAGGAATGCAAATGCTGCCTCACCTTCCCTCATCCCATAAGCCACTGGCCCTGGCAGTTTTTGTGTGGATAGCAGGTTCTGTTCTTCCCTCTGGGACTGAGCCCAGAAATGCTCCTGATGCCCTACGAGGCTGCAGCAGGGGGAGGTAAGGTGTGGAAGGAGCCTCCACATCAGGTACAGGTTGATTTACTCCATATAACTGGATATGCAGCTACATCCAAGCACAAGTAAGACACTTTCATATCTTGCCTTCACCATCCATTAGTACATGTGCATGGAAAAGTAATTAGGTTTTATCTAGAAAAAGCTAAATGTTTGTTCAAATGGAAGGATTTCTAAATCAAGTTAAAGAGACCCCTTCAAAATGTCATTTCACAAAGGCCTTTTGGAATGTTTCTCTGCTGCTACTGATGATCACAGAATCAATTAGGTTAGAAAAGACCTCTGAGATCGACTCCAGCCTATGACCGAACACCACCGTGTCAAGTAGAGCACGGCACTGAGTGCCACCTCCAGTCTTTCCATGAACATCCCTAGGGACAGTGTATGGGATCCTTTCAGCAGGAGAGGGTGCAAGGGAGCGAGGGCAGCACCACGGGCTCTGCTGAGCAGCACGAGGGGCTGTGGGGGGCCGTCAGGGGGGAAGAGCCCAAGCCTCTGTTTCTCACTGGAGCAATTAAAGGATGGGGAGGCCGATTTGTCGCTCTGCCCTCCTCCCACCTTCCCGGACAGCGCAGGCTCGCCCGGTGCTGCGTCCCAGGCC